CAACATCTTGTATGTGTGTGTATGTAATTGAATCACTGCACTGGATACTTGAGACTAACACAATACTACAAATTAACTGTACTTCAGTTTTTTTAAAAAATCCACTTATAATTGTATAAATTAGGGAGCTATTGTTTAATAGATACAGACTTTCAGGTTTACTGCTATAGACTGGATGGTGGTGAGGGTTGAGCAACAGTGTGAAGGTACTTAATACCAGTAAATTGTACAGTTAAAAATGGTTAAAATGATAAGTTTATCTTATGTATTATTACAGTGCCAAAAAGTACCAAACAAAATGGCTTCCACCAAACAGAAAACATTTTTCACAACAGCTTCCTAGGTAAGCAACTTTAAGACTGGCTACTTCATGATTCAACAGTATCAAAAAGGACCCAGGTTGTCTTCAGCTGCCCACTCTGCCAGCCTCCACCCACCTGCTTCATCCTTAGCCAACTCCCTCGGAAGCTTCCTGCCCAGCCAGAAATTTCTTTCCAACAGACTCAGAGATACAGAGAACAAACCAGTGGTCACCGCTGGGGAGAGGCAAAGTAGGGGTGAGGGACTGAGAGGCACAGACTGCCATGCGTGAAATAAATAAGCTACCAGGATAGATTGTATAGCACAGGGCACAAGCCAACATTTTATCATAACTTACACTGTACTCCATTTAAAGAATTTTGAGGGACTGTGTTGTACGTGTGCAGCTAGTATTATGAATCAACTATACTTCAATTAAGAAAAAAAGAATTTCTTTCCAAAAGAACATATATGAAAAGAGACCATCTAAGAGCAAGAAAGTCTTCCAGAATCATCACACATCACTCAGCATCCCCACTTGATTGTCCTAACAGCCATTTTACCTGCAGCACGGCCGAAGCCAATCTCCTGCTGTCCTCCCCAGCCCCTCTCCCAGCATCTTTCAGTCTCACTAACTGGCAATTCATTCTTTCTCCAAATCTATCCTTATTCAGCCAAAAATCTTAGAGTCATCTTAGGCCCCTCTCTTCACACCCATCAGCAGATTCTTCTGGCTCTCCCTTTTAAGTATTTCAAGGTTTCAGCCACTCTTCACCACTATGATTCTGCTTTGAGCCACCTCCATCTCTTACCTGGATTGTTGCAGTAGCTTCCTAACTGGTCTCCCTGTTTCTGCCCTTGGTTGTGTGTATCTGTGCTCAGTCGCTCAGTCATGTCTGACTCTTTGCAGCCCCATGGGCTGTAGCCCACAAGGCTCCTCTGTCCATGGGATTTCCCAGGGGAGAATACTGGAGTGGGTTGCCGTTTCCTCTTCCAGGGGATCTCCCCGACCCAGGGATTGAACCCAGGTCTTCCTGCATTGCGGGAGATTCTTTTACTATCTGAGCCACCAGGGAAGCCCCCTGCCCTTGGTTACTTACTCACTCACTGAATAAATACGTACAGGCATTGCTCCAGGTACTAGCAATTCTGCAGGTAAAAACCCTGCCCTCCTGGTACTTTCCTTCTGTTCTCAAAATAGCATCCAGAGAGATCTCTTTTAAAGGTAAGTCAGTCATGTCACTTTTCTGATCAGAATCCTTAAATTATGCTACAGTATGTGCATTGCAGCTGAAATGAGGAAAAGCTTGTTTTAATCTTAGGGTGCCTCTGCCTAAACGCTGTCATGTCACAGAGCAAAGTTCAGTTTGAATGCAAACTTTAAAGTGGAAGAAAGGACGACAAAAGTCATTTCTAGCATATTTGTCTGTTTCTAGGATTCTAGAAACAGCTCTGCACTGAATGACTTCAGAGACATCTGTGTGATACACTGATCACTCTGGTAATGGTTTCTTAACCACCTACCTCTCATCCTTTTTCCTTATTTTGTTGAATTCTTTGTATAAATAGAGCTGTCAAAACTCATGGAACATCTATTAAATGGATGTACACCCTCATGGGATTTTTTTTAGTCCAACTATAACGTACATGAATAAAGTACAATGTTTTCAGTATACCATGTGATTTTTGTGTATGTGTAAGTTCCCATGTATTAAATAACTTCTAACCCAGATCAAGATACACCATTTTCAGCACTCCAGAACACTCCCTTGTTCCATCTGCCAATCCTTATTGTCTTCCAAACATAACCAGTATTCTGACCTTTATCACCATAAAATTAGTTTTGCCTGTTTCTGAACTTTCATTCATGGACTCATACATCTGGTTTCTTTCGTGCAAAATTAGATCTGTGAGATTCATCCGTGGTGTTGGAGGTAGCTCTAGATCCTGCTTTCCTGTTGCCTTACTAGTATTCCACTGTGTGAACATCCTGTACTTTATCCATTCTACTATTGATCGATATTTGGATTATTTCCTGTTTTGGATGTTATGAGTATCCTGTCTTTTGTTGGCTATAAGCACTTGTTTCTCTTTTCACTCTGGGAATGTGATTGCTGGGACATAGGACCTGCTTACAGATACAGAACTTTAGGAGATAATGCAAACACTAAAGTGGTTGTACCCTCTGACGGGGACTTCCCAGGTGGTGCTAGTGGTAAAGAACCCGACTGCCAATGTAGGAGACATAAGAGACTTGAGTTCGATCCCTGAGTCAGAAAGATCCCCTGGAGGAGAGCATGGCAACCCACTCCAGTATTCTCGCCTGGAGAATCCCATGGACAGGGGAGCCTTGCAGGCCACAGTCCATGGGATTGCAAAGAGCTGGACAGAACTGAAGTGACTTAGCATGCATGCACCTACCCCCTGAGAGGCATGAGATGTCTTCCTGGATTCAGTGGGTCTGAGCAGCCTGACCCATTATTTGTTCATGTTTCTGTCTTCCCCCAGCTCTACGCCAAACCAGAGTGTTGAACAGAAATGATTAGAACACAAAAGACAAGGTGAAATTGTACAAGGCAAAATATCAGTAATCCTAGGATTGAAAGGGAAATTCTCCAGTGACCTCTTACTACACGACAATTCTGTTGTTAACCTCCATCACATCAGCTTCAGTTCCGTTTTCATGATACTTGAAAGATTTTGAAAAGGGATGGGAAACAAAACACGATGGGAAGGCTGTTCCTAAATGGCAAATGTTCGGGCTAAAGAATGAGGTTAGACTGGCAAGGGCTAGCAATGGCCTGATTTCACACACAATATTGATCACTAGGAATACAAAGTGATGAACAAGATACATAGAGCTTCCACCACAGGGGCAGAGGGGAGGTCAGCCAGCATCACAGGGCCCCGTGGTGAGAGCTGTGGGGCAAAGCACTGAAAAGAAAAATGCCAGTGTCTTCCTTTACGTTACACACAGTAAAACTACAACATTACTGACACCAGAAATAGTGTTTTCCACACATCGTGTGATTCTGTGGCAGCAGCTGGCTGGCCTACAATTAACTCAGTTCTCACACTAGCTCCCTGGAGGTGGCGTCAGACCCCACAGGTTACGTGTTCAGTTCCCAAGACCGCCCCCACTTTGGATGCGAATCCCAAGTCTAGATAGTCAGCATACCTCTGACCAACCAGTTCCAGATCAGAGGATCCCACGCCCCTCCCCAGGGTTTAATTCATTTGCTAGAGAGCACATCATGGGCCAAACCTGGAAGCTAGATAAGGAGCCAGACATGGAGGGAACTTAAAACTTCACCAAGGCTGAAGCATAGTGTTTCCAGGGAGAATAGTAGCAAGAGATGAAGCTAGAAAAACCATCAGATATCAGATCATTAGAAGTTTTAAAATAATAACAGCAACCAGTGTTTCAGAAGAATCAACTTTTTCCAGACTCTTGGACTTAAGCACATCTCAAGGACCATCTCATTTACTATTCACCATCCTTAAAACATAGGTACATTATTACAGATGATAAAATGTAGGTTCAGGGAAATTAATTGGCCAAAGCCACAGCCCTTAAAACGACAGGTCTAGGCCTTAAACCCATGTCTAACTGATCAAAAGCCCATACTCTTAACCACTCATATAGATAATTGGAGAAGGAAATGGCAACCCACTCCAGTATTCTTGCCTGGAGAATCCCAGGGACAGAGGAGCCTGGTGACTGCTGTCCATGGGGTCGCACAGAGTTGGACACGACTGACGCGACTTAGCAGCGTATAGATAATACCACATAAACCATGCTTTATCCTCCTGGGAGCTCAACTTCTTATATGTGTTCATGTTTTATTAGAGAGACACCATTTACAATAATTTTCTCAAATGGAAGTAATATATAGATTCCTTTTCAAGAAGAAAAAGTTTACAGACCTTTAGTAGTTGACTTAAATCAACTAATGTTCCTTAAAACGTAGGCAAATAAAATGTCAGCTTAAGTTCCTAGTGCTTAAACTGCTTGTATATCAGAATAAGTACACCAAATTAATACCCCCCAAAACCTATAAAACAAGGTGTAGATTAAGTACCACTAATTTCATGTCACTGACATTGTTTTGCGGAAATGGTCGCTCTGGAGGAGTGAGTGGCCCTGACACTTCTCTGGGTCAGGGCACCGAGGCTGCGGAGACCTCATGTCCCACACCTGTCCTCTTGTTCAGCGTCCCAGGAAACCACGACGCTGTCTGGCTTCACTCGGAGTATGGACATCACACACATTAGGTCCACCACTCACCATTCACCCGCAACATCTAAAGCTGTGCTGCATGGCGCCCACAGGATTGTAAACCCATCAGCTCTGAAATACAGTTTCTATGCTTTTAATGCAACTTGAGTTCAGAGTTCGTAACAGTTTCAGACTTACTAAAATGAGATTCAATCTGGAATGGACTTTGGTCTGTGAGTGAGTGGGAGACTGAAGGAGGACACCTCAGAGGGACGCATGTGCTGGCTTTTGAGGGTTACTAAGTCACACTTGGGCGTCCCAGGTGGCAGTGGTTGTAAAGAACCTGCCTGACAATGCAGGAGACATAAGACATGCGGGTTAGATCCCTAAAGTCAGGAAGATCCCCTGGAGGAGGGCATGGCAACCATGCAAAGTTAAGCTTAATAGAGATTCTGATTCTGTTTTTTCTGCTTCCTCACAGGTGTCGGCACCAGGAATTATTACAGAAAGATTGGCTACAGATTGCAAGGTCCATACATGGTAAAGACGCTAGAATAACACCACACCAGTCCGCCTTGAGGCATCTCCTCCCTGGCAGGAAACAGATCCAGGATGTCTTGAAAACTCAGCACAGAGGCTGAGCAAAGCAAATGGACCTCCCTGAGCCTCTGGCAGGAGGCTCCCCCTCACCCTGGAGCCTGGAAACCTTGCTTAGGGCTGGGTCGGGCTTCTGCTGACCAAGCCCATGGAGCCTGGACACTCAGACCTACCCCCCTCCACACCACCTGCTCCTGCATGTTCTCAAGACGTCACCTGTTTTCGAGGCTTAACTCCTGTATCTAGTTTCTCAGTTTTGCATGAGACTTGCAAGTGACCTAACTGTGACTCAGGCAAAGAGACAAAAAGCAAGTTAATCAACTCATTTGGACACCACGATTCATGTACTAAAACTGGCTATGTCACTTAAGGAGTAAACTTAGGGGTAGGTTATTTATATAGAGTATAGACAAAGAGTCATGTTGGGATCATGTGAAAACTGTCAGACATTGATCTCTGTCCTGTTACTATAATATGTACGCATTCCAGCACTAGTTTAAAAAATGAGCTTTCGTTTTAAATGGCAATCATTGTGGTTCCTGCGCTGCTGTTTGAAATAACTGAGATGGGGAGAGAACAGGTGAGGGTTCAAGCTTGAAACCAGCCTTTCTCAGTTCACAGGCTACCATCTACAAAGGGCCATTACAGACATCCATTGATTTCAGGATTTTTATTGCCTGTACTTCCCTCACACTTGACAACTGCAACACACCGTGGGCGGCACTTTCGTCCAGAGAAGCGTTTGGCGTCCCCGTTGGGCTGTCCTGAGCAGGCCGTCTGCCGCACACACGTCTGAGCTTGTGTGTCCCTGAGTCAAGGCACGTATCCACAGCCACTCTTCCCTGCATTTTAATTCTTCCAGTTTTAAATGGAGAAAGGTCAGAGTTAAACTGATATATGAAAGTTAAAAAAAAAAAAAATACTGGAAACAGGCCCAAATCTAAAAATAGGAGAAAGATTGGCTTTTTCAAAGCATCATCTTCTAGGACTGCCTCTCTGTGACTTCCAGGTGAGCTATTAAGGAGACAGCCTAGAGAGGGTCTGTTCTTAAGAGCGTGGCTTAACCTGCATCCTTGGGATTCGGTGGCATTTTACAAAAAGGTTTAGTAAAGGGAGTTGATTCTTCTAAAAGTTTGAAAAATAAAATCTTCAACACAGAAGGAAGAATCATGTAAGGCTTTTTCTCTCCTCTCCCTGTAAACACAGGGACATTTGCCCTGAGTTTACAGGTTCGGGTTTCTTGTCTCCAGCACTGTCCATTTCCTCCTGGGTGCTGTTTGCCATCTTGTTAAAATGCCACCAGGCAAATGGCATCGGCTCCCTTTTCGACTCGCTGCGTAACTGCAGAGGCTTTTCACGAGCGCCGTTTAGGGAATTCAGCTACTTCTTAGTTTTGAGCCAAACTGAGGACACTAGCCCCAGAGACAGCCTCTCAGATAACTGAGAAACTACTCAGAGAAGGATGGTTCTCAGTGCAGGCTTTGGAACTAACACCAGCACATGCACAGCCGGTCACTACGGCCTGGACCCCTGGGAAAGGAGTCTTACCATTGAAGGAGGACCCGCATGGGCATCACGGGGAGGGGGGCACTTCATCATTATTTTTAGTGTGGACACTCTTTACTTCCAATCAGTGTGTCCTTTTCTTTACTAATTAAAGCAGACCTACAGTGGATGTCAGGTCACAAATAAGCTGCTCTTAGTTAGCATGAAATTCAAGTTAACTCACGTTTAAGCAGAATGCCTTCCCCTGACTTCCGAAGACTGTTCTTGGCATCTCTGGTGCCTGGCCGTTCTAGAGATGTGTGGTCTTGATCAAATGGACTGCCTCATAAGAAACATCAGCTAGGCGTGATCCCTTCAGCCTCAGCATGAAGCCTATAAAGCTGCAGTTTGTGTGTCTGATCTGTATTGAGCAACTCCTTAGCAACCACCTCAAGCCCAGTCAGCTAGCTCTGCTTTTGAGTTTTTGTTAAATCACTTGGGGAGTTTTTCTTTTTTTTTTTTTTTAATCAAGCCCTTATCAAAAACAGACAAATCTATTTGCATTAAAAATGAGATTTTAAAAATTCATTATTGCAAAGTAAAAGAGCCTGGTAGAACTCACTGTTTCTCAGACTTGGGAATGAATGTGGAGTCCTTTTAAAGGAATAAATTCCTACTGACCCAGAAGAATCCTGAGAAGTACAACTTAAAAGCCAAAACCTGTTCTATGAAGACATCTTTCAAATTGCAACTTTTCATTTCCAGAGGTTTTTATGGTATTTTTTAAGGTTATCATCTAATTAAAAATGAAATTTGGGGAATTCCCTGTTGGCCCAGTGTTTAGGAGTCAGCACTTTCACTTGCCATGGTCCTGGGTTCAATCCCTGGTTGGGGAACTAAAATTCTGCAACCTTCAAGGCTCAACCCCAAAAAAAACAAAAGCCATTTTGTCCATAAAGAACTTAGACCCCCTAACCTGATAAAACAGCTCAAGATCTAGGTTCTGAAAACCTGGGCTCCTCTATTAACTTTGAAGCTGTGAGCAAGTCCCCTCCCATTTTTGAGCTGCCCTCCCCTCATTTGTAATGAGAGAATGCCCACCCGTCAGAATGAACGCAATGTTCTGATGTGGTCACATTTGATAGATGCTGCATAAACCACGACATTCTCTATATAAACCATCCTCACTCCAGTGAAGTGGCTTCTCAGTGGGTGTGTGACCTCGAGCAAGAAAACTCTGCCCCTCAGCAAGTTTCCTGTCTGTAAAATGGATCTGATAAGTTTCTCCCTTGTGCAGTAGCTGTCAAGATTAAATGCTCTCACACATGTCTGTTTCTTCGATCAAGGCCTGTGGGACACAAAACACACTACAAGTACTGACTATTATGACCAAGATCTGACAAGTGCAGTATCCTGCCCCCCGCCTTTTTTTGTATTTACTTGTTTATTTACTCATTTGGCTGTACCAGGTCTTATTTGCAGCATGCAAAATCTTTAGTTGTGGTGTGCGAACTCTTAGTTGCAGCATGTGGAATGTAGTTCCCTGATCAGTCAAACCCAGATCCCCTGCATTGGGTGCACAGAATCTTAGCCACTGGACCACCAGGGAAGTCTATCCGGCCCATTCTAACATGAGAGTTTCTTACCTGCTGGCAGTAGAACCTGATTTTTTTTTTTTTTTTGGCTAGAAATCTCTGAATTTTGCTAGAGGCCAGTGTCAGAAGAATAGCATCACTGGGCTCTGAGGCCTTTTCTCTGAGGATGTTCTGACTGGTCCTTCTCTCATTCACGTAAGTCCAGGGTTACAAATTTCAACTCCATGCTTTGAGGGACAAGAAGCTAGCTGAGCCTGCAACAGCAAAAAGCATTTTCACGTATCACTGTGATTCTGCGGGCTTCCTGGAAAGCTGTCCAGCATCAGTGTGGACTGCGGTCTCCTGTGTGTGCACAGGTAGCCATGTCCACCTAGGGAGCCCCCGAGGGAGTCTGGCCACCTTTGGGGCCAGGGAGGAGGAGCAGTGCCTCCTGTCAGCATCAATCCTGTGTACCAGCTATAACCTCTGTGTCTCATCCTGTGATGGCTGTCCCCAAAACTAAGCATGTGGACCTTTGAAAGAAACTGATTAACATAGACAAATAACCTAACGTGTATAACAGGGAGCTTCCTTGTGGCTCAGTGGTAAAGAATCCATCTGCCAATACAGGAGACGAAGGTTCAATCCCTTGGGTCGGGAAGACCCCCTGGAGAAGGAAATGGCAACGCACTCCAGTATCCTTGCCTGGCAAATCTCATGGACAGAGGAGCCTGATGGGCTGCATCCATGGGGTCGCAGAGTCGGGCACAACTGAGCGACTAACACTTATTTACTTAGTGACTAAATAACAATAAGCCTGTAACAGGGGAAAAACCTACTTTTTATGTCCAAATATATAGCTTTATCTCCTCCCTGTTTCTCGACAAGCCTCGAATACCCTTCTGTCCACCTGGAAAACGCCTCCAAGTGGGGTAACTACCATCTGAGCCCCGCCACGTCCTGCTTTGCTATCTAGGTCACCCTCATGCCGCCTTCACAGTCAACACTCATCCCCCTCCTCTAATAAATGAGGACACAGGCTGGTGTCTGCCTCACTGGGCCTGAAGTCCTAGAGCCACCACCTTGCCCAGTGCCATCAGCACCAGCCCTGAATGTCCACAGATCGTGTATATGGCCGCGTGCACGGCGCCCACGGAGCAGCCCAGCACCGCAACCCGGAGCTCAGTCACTACGTGGGTTTAGGACCCAAACCCGAGTCACCGACTCCGCCTTTCTCACTCCACCCCATGTTTCCGTTGTTAGGGGGGAATATGTTTCCAGTCAGCCTATGTTTAAAGAGAACGCTAACAAGTATCGAGCAACCAGTCTGCTTTCATATTATCTCAGCCTCACAACAGACAACCTGTAACTGGTTTCTTTCACCAACCAGGTTTTCCCAAGTGCAAGAAGTGGAAAGTCATGATGTCATCAAGAGAGAATGCAGACCAGAGAAAATCGTTCTTTCCATTTAAGTGAAAATCACTGTTTTTTGGTCCCCAAAATTATATATGCTCATAATAACAGGTTGAAATGAAACAGAAAGGCAGAAAATAACCTGACATCTCACCAAGAGACAGCGATAAGCCCTGTGATGATTGCTGTTTGATACAATCGCACATGAACGCACACAACCAATCAACTTTACATGAAATGGTCACACAGTGCGTGTCAGCTTGTAACTGTCTGTATTCCACAAAATGTAACTACCACCAACATCTTCCTGTGTCAATACACATGGATCTCGGCGAAGTCCTAACCACTGGACCATCAGGGAAGTCCCTATCTCATTCTTTTTAATGACTACCTGAATTCCCATTGTCTGCAGACACCACACTTTATTTCATTGGGTCTTTCATATTCTTTTCTATTCTCACTGTCACATTAACTGGAATCATCGATGAA